AACAGCCTTAATATTTTGAGCCCATTTTGGCTCCTCTTGTATTGTGAAAAACAGTCATATTAGACTCAACAAAATCTCTATTCATAGCTCTGCAGATATTGCCAGACGTGTTGTGTTTCTCCAGCTTTTTGTTTGTTTCAGACTTCTAGCATCTGTAATATTTTGCTTTTAGATAAGGCTGTAACAATTGTAAGCAAACTTGGGACTTTGTGGTGTCAGTAGAAGGAAGTACCTTGTGTATATAGCTTGGAAACAACAATTCAAATAACAATTCAGTATTATAAGTGTTTACCTATTGTTGACATGCTTATGGTGAACTGGCCCATATCTAATTGTGCACAATCCCTAATGAAGGTTCACTAGTTTGATTCCTGATCTACAAGGAGAGATCATTACAACATGAGTATATTAGAAGAATGAGAGGTGGAATTTGAGTGCAAATTTGAAGGGCTTGAAAGGTCAAATGTACTGAGCATGTTTTCCCTAGCTGGGAAGTCTGGAACCAAGAGTCTTGGTTTCACAATCAGTAATCTAGGGCCAAGATGAGAGATTTATTTGCTCAAAACATTTATGAAGCATTGTCCCACTTAAGACATAGAGGAGGAATTTTTTTCCTGAATGTAGTCAATCTATGAAATTTGTTATCACAGAGGCTGGGTCAGTAAATATTTTCAAGGCTGAAATTGACCGATTTTAGACTAACAAAGGCAAGAATTTTTTTGGGGGTGGGGGGTTGTGGGGAACGCAGGACAGTGGAGCTGAGAATTATCAGTTAAGTTATGATCTCATTGAATAATGGAGCAAACTCTGCTTGAATGGCCACTTTTTTGCTCCTTCGTCTTGGCTATTACAGAAACCTCTGTCCCAGAGACCTGTGGATGTTCAGTTGCTGGGGACATTGAAGATACACTGATATGTTCTTGGATATTGAAGGGTAAGGAAATCATGAACGAAGGTGGAGTTGAGGTAGGAAGATTGAATGTGGCCTTGAAGTGAGGAATGACATATTTCTATTTAAGTCATGCCCCTGATTTAAGAAGCTATAGCTTGTATTGGTCTTCCTCAGTCAGATTTTTGAACTTGGTGTCTGAGTCAGATTTTCATATTGATGCGTTAGTTGGTTTCCACAAAACAAGAACAGACTTGTAGACTGAGCTTATCTTGAGTATACAAAACTGCAGCAGGTCTACAGAAACGGTTTAGCTAGCTCATGGATGCCAAGCTTTAGG